TATAAACATGAAATTTATTATATATTATTTAAAAATTTATAGTTTTCAATTAATGAGACCTGTGCTCATATTCAATGTGTATATTTTAATTGCCTGTTACACAATGCATTGATCAGAAAAAAGTGTTTGGAAAAATCCACTGTACACTATTGGCTTTGCAAAAAATAGGACATCCAAACGGAAGTCGGAGGGTAATGTGTTTATCTCGGATCGATATTTTACAAAACGGGTAAAAATCGCACAAGGCATTACAAAAACAAAAACAAAACAAAAACAAAAACAAAAAACACAAAAGAGGATGTAAAAGGATGGCCCATGAAAGTTTTCTTTAAAAAGTAAAAACTTACTTCCAATGGGGTCCTATATAAAAACAACTATAAACATGAAATTTATTATATTTTATTTAAAGATTTATATATATATATATATATATAATATATATATATTTATATATATAATATAGGAAAAATTTATATATATATATATGGGAAAAATTTAGATATAGGGCCTATATATTATATACACACAGGGCCTATATATTTGCATCACAAAACAAATGGACATTATTTCTCCATAATATTGTTGTGCAATGTCTACGTACCTACAGTTAGGCCTATTGTTTGTATAATTCATTTCTATTAGCATTACGTAAATCACCAGTTGTCAGGATGGCCGAGCGGTCTAAGGCGCCAGACTCAAGGTTCAACCTTCCCAAGCAAAGGCATCAGGGTATTCTGGTCTCCGAATGGAGGCGTGGGTTCGAATCCCACTTCTGACAAAGCATTTTTTTAATTTATTTTATTCCCAAAATTAATATAAAATAAACGTCCTGAAAATCTGAATGATGATCCCTAAACTCCGGTCCCAAAAGCAGTTTTCAATTAATGAGCCCTGTGCTCATATTCAATGTGTATATTTTAATTGCCTGTTACACAATGCATTGATCAGAAAAAAGTGTTTGGAAAAATCCAATGTACACTATTGGCTTTGCAAAAAATAGGACATCCGAACGTAAATCGGAGGGTAATGTGTTCAGTTCAGTTTATCTCGCATCGATATTTTACAAAACGGGTAAAAATCGCACAAGGCATTACAAAAACAAAAAAACACAAAACACAAAAGAGGATGTAAAAGGATGGCCCATGAAAGTTTTCTTTAAAAAGTAAAAACTTACTTCCAATGGGGTCCTATATAAAAACAACTATAAACATGAAATTTATTATATTTTATTTAAAGATTTATATATATATATATATAATATATATATATATTTATATATATAATATAGGAAAAATTTATATATATATATATGGGAAAAATTTAGATATAGGGCCTATATATATATATATTATATACACACATATAGAGCCTATTTGCATCACAAAACAAATGGACATTATTTCTCCATAATATTGTTGTGCAATGTCTACCGTACCTACAGCTACCATTCATTTCTATTAGCATTACATAAATTACCAGTTGTCAGGATGGCCGAGCGGTCTAAGGCGCCAGACTCAAGGTTACTCAAGGTTCAACCTTGCCAAGCAAAGGCATCAGGGTATTCTGGTCTCCGAATGGAGGCGTGGGTTCGAATCCCACTTCTGACACTTCTTTTTTTATTTATTTTTTCTAAAATCAATATTAAATAAACGTTCTGAAGATCTGAATGATGATCCCTAAACCACAGTTCGCACAAGGCAGTACAAAAAACAAAAATATAATGTAAGGATGGCCCATGAAAGTTTTCTTTAAAAAGTAAAACTTACTTCCAATGGGGTCCTATATAAAACCAAATATAAACATGAAATTTATATTATTTATATATTTATATATAGGGCATATATATATATATATAATATTGGGAAAATTTATATATATATGGCCTATATATAATATATATATGTATGTATATATATATATATATATATCTATACCCTAGCTGCACTGATGAGGCCTTGAAGGCCGAAACGGATCCGTCTGCAGATATTGGGATTCCTTCCAGTGGATGCTTAGTTTATTTTGTCATTCTGATCGGATTTTCTCTACTGTTCCGTTTTAATTTTAAAT